TTGTTTTGGCAGAGTTTACAAAAAGAAAATGAACAATGTACTTGAAGTTTGGTTCTTGTTTAACTTATGCATCATGGTTGGTCTATCTGTAGCTTTTAATGAAGACTGGTAAAATATTGATCTGGTACAATACTTGTTTATCTGTTTTTATTTTCAGTTTTATTTTGATTGTTGTTTATCATCTTTATCTGCAGTTATCACATATGAAATGTTATGATACTCTAATTAAGAACTGAGCTACTCAAGAAACAAGATGAAGATGATGAACCTCTTTTAGATGTAACTAAACCACATAAAACTGTTGATCAACAAAGAAGAGAAATTGTACCAAGTTCTACTGATGTTAGACTCAGTACTAGCCGCGAATCAGTTGTTGAGTTATTTTAAATGTTTTAGTAGTATAGTGTTTTTGTTGTGAGTTTTAATCATTTTTACTATTATAGATTTTTTAGTTCATAGTGTTATTTAGAAAGCTTATTTTAAATTACAGTCTCGTGTGTGTGTAATTTTTCCTTTTAAAACAAAGATAATTCACAGCTTACTTACTTAGTCACTGGGTCCATTGAAGGGATTATATAGCAATCACTTTGAAATATCACTCGATCAAAAATAGGAAGCATACCACTCACTCTCTCAAGCTACTTTAAGCCCTCCACACACCAGGCAACATGTTGCTAGCAACATTTGTGGTTACTTTGATCTTGTAAGCAACATGTTGCTAAAAATAGAAATCAGTTCTATTTTGCAACAAGTTGCTCAAAAGACCAAAGAAACCACAAATGTTGCTAGCAACAAGTTGCCTGGTGTATGGAGGGCTTTAGACTGATCCTCAATGGGAGTGTGAAGATTGACGTTTTTTTATGTAGCCTGATCCTTGTGTAAAGTTTGTTTAAAGTGAATCCTATACTGGAAAGGCTCTTGCTCCTTCTTCTGGTAAGTTGGTACGATGATGACAAGTGGGACAAGTAAGATAGTTGGTTTTATCCAAAAGTAATTCCTTCAGACAGTGCTGACAGAATGAATGTAGACAAGGTAAAGTCTTAAGGTGGGCATCCACTATGAAGCATTGCTTGTCGTTAAACCTTTGATGTGGTTGGGCAACATGTTGCATGAAGTAGAGAAAGTATCAATTTCATGCAACATGTTGCACAACCACATCAAAGTTGCATAATGGATGCCCACCTTTAGGGTTGGTATAGTGTTCGAGACAGATAGGACAGGTGAGTTGTTCCTCCAGTTTGAGAAGACCAGAATGAAGATGGTTGGGATGCCGTTTAAGCAAAAAGGAATGAAGCAGAGAAGAGAAGGTGACTATAGTAGACAAAGCAAATGATAGACAGTAGAAAAGAAGCCTCAAAAAGTGCAAAAGGAGGTGAAACCTTAAATATATTCAAAGCCTATGGTCAATGTTATGGCAACTGAATGCATTATGCACCATAGGAACTATAGGTCATTATCTATGTTAATATATACATACTGACAATGGTGTCAT